CGCACTTTGAGTCCCTTTCGGGTGCCTAGGGCTGGAAAGTGTTCGCGCTGGACCTTTTGGGCATGGGCCGGAGTAGTCGGCCGCCTTTCTAGATTCACGCCAAGGACAAGGTGGCCAAGATTGAGGAGGCAGAATCGTGGTTCGTGGATGCGCTCGAGGAGTGGCGGATAAAGAGAGGCTCCCCCTAAGTTTACCTTGTTTTGACACAGTCTCGGTGGATACCTGGCCATTGCATACGCCTTGAAATACCCCGGGCATTTGAACAAGTTGATACTGGCGTCTCCGGTGGGCATACCCGAGGATCCGTATGCGGTCGACGAGGAGATGCCTGACCCCCAGGAGTCAAGCATGGCGAATGAATTCACTCAGGATGCTGCAGAGACAAACAGTCGGGGTGTACAGCCCATCACAGCTGACAAGAACAACTTTATGAATCAGCAGAAGAAGGGTATGTTCAGTTACGCATCTCATCGCCCAATGACTAACCCCCTCCAGGCGATACTACAAAAGACACGAAGCAACCGCCAAAACGACGACTACCATGGTGGCTCTACTCCCTCTGGGAAGCCAATATGATTTCACCCTTTACCTTTGTCCGCTGGTCTGGGCCTCTTGGACCCCGCCTTGTATCCGGCTGGACGTCGCGCCGCTTCTCACAGTTACCCGAAGAAGAAGCACAAGCACTACACGACTACAGCTACGCCCTCTTCCGCCAGCGGGGTAGTTCCGAGTACGCGCTAGGTTATCTCCTTGCGCCCGGTGCTTTTGCTCGCAGTCCAATGATTCGGAGAATACAAGGTGTGGGCCGGCAATGGATACAGGCACATGACGCGCCAACGGTAGACGGTGACGCTCCACCCATAGCGTCTGCCAACTCACCGCAGTCGGCCGCCGCGAAACGCGAGACTGGCTACCCGGTTGTCTTCATGTATGGCGAAAATGACTGGATGGATGTTGCGGGGGGATTCGCGGCCGAGGAGAAGATGAAGCTGGAACGCGAACGCTTGCTAGCGAGTGCGTCGCCGGAGGAGCGGAACAAGGATCACGGTGTGGCCAAGGTGGTTATTATTAATAAGGCTGGACATCATGTTTATCTGGATGGGTGGGAACAGTTTAATCGGGTCATGTTGGAGGAAATGGACGAGGTTAGACGGAGACAAACACACACATAGAAGCAGGACGGCGTTTGGGTCACGCGACAATTGATAGGCGTATTAGATGATTCCTAGTTTGAAGATACATGTTGTTGAACAATGGCATCTGCTTTTTCTTCTTTCACATGCAAATTGTTCAACTTGTTGTCCTGGTACCCCTCACCGTCCGCATCTCTTGACCACCTCACATGCGCCCTTGCATACACTCACCCCCGCTCCGTCCCGCACACATCGCCCACTACTGCAGGGCCAAGGACGTGTCAGACGATCTGGCAGCCGCATAACCTATCCAATGTTAGTCTTGTGGGGGGTGAAGTATTTGGTGCCAGCAATCCCAGTCTACACCGCCCCGGCCCCCGGCAGCATCGTCGAGGACAAGCGCAGGTTCCCGTGTAGGTTCCCGTGTACACAGCACTCGCTATATGCTACGCCTACCGCATCTCTACGTTGCGCAACATATCCGCGTGAATACGCAATTTCGCGAACCGAGTCATACGCCAGGACGAGCTGGGGTAACCTTGTGTTCGCATTCGGTACTTTGGACTTTGGTTCCGATCACCTTCACATGACGCAGCCAGGGATTGACGCACCGCGCTCCGCTCCGCTACCAAACCACCACAGGCAGGGACGAATTGAGGGACGGGAAAGATAAAGAAAAATAAATATCAGGCCGAGGTCATGGCGCCTCAGACCCTGGACCAACTAGTCAAAGGCGCACCCGCGCCCAACACCAACGTAGAAAAGATGGCAGAAAGCATCGAGCGAGCACCACCACCATATTCCGCCTCAATCCTCGCAGACAACGCACCACCCCACGACGCAAACGACCGACTCCCAACGCTCAAACTACCCCGACCACCCGTCCTCAACGACCCAACCGCCCTCTTACCGTCGTCCCCCCCGCAAATCTACCTCAACCTACTCATCCTCGAAGCCAGTCTCCGAAGCCAATACCTCACCCTCCGCGCGCGCCGCCGCCAAAACACCTTTGTCCTCACTCTGCTGGCCGTATGGATAGGCTTCTGCTTCTACCTGCTGTGGCTGCGCCCACGCGAAGACGGCAAGGGCATCGGCGGTTCGCAATACTGGCTCCTGGACATGCTGCAAAAAGTCGGTTTCATAACGGGTGTCGTAACCGCGCTATTATTCTGGGCCACGGGACAATGGGAGCGCGGCGTGCGGTGGCCACGACGCTGGATCGGCGTTGCAAACCGCGGGTTACGAGGCATGAATGCAAAGATTGTTGTTATACGTGGGCCGTGGTGGCGTGAACTGGTCGAGTGGGCGCATTTCATCGTGCCGTTTTCCGGGGGCTTGTGGGGCGGGGAGCAAGGTGGTAGTTCGTACCATTTCATCAATGTGGCGCAGGAGAATAAACACGCGGCGTTGTTGGATGGTGGACGCCCAAGGAATCGTATTGTCGAAGACGGCAAGGAATACGCAGAGGAGGATATCGCGCCCGGGGGGGATTATATCAAGTTGTTACTACTCCCCAAACCCTTCACCCCCGACTTCCGCCAGTCATGGGAAGTCTACAGAAACGACTACTGGGCCACGGAAAACGAGCGCAGAGCCGAACTCCGCAAACGCGTGCGCGCTCGCCAACGGGAAATCGCCCGCGAAGAAGGTGGCTGGCTATGGTGGACAGGCTGGCGTGGTTGGAAACGCGCACGCGGTATCAGCGGACGCAGCAGTGGGGATGTGGAAAAAAGCGGTCACCACCATAGTAACCCACACACACGCACATATTCAAACACACCGTCGCGGAAACGCCGCCCCAGTCTCCTCCAAGGCGCCCGCGGAAGAGAACGGTCAAACTCCCGTAGTTCCTCACGCAGTACAACACCCACACCGGATATCGACACCGACGGCCGGCTGCGGCCGAGCGAAAACCGCGAGAGACGGTGGAGTAATGCGTCGAATAACACCGCTACTACATCTACTAGTAGGAAATCGTCGCTGAGGTCCAGCTCGACGATTACACAGGGGAATGCGCAGTCGGCGAGGCAACCGTTGATACCACCGCAGCGGGGTTCAAGACCGACGACGCCGAGTGAGGGGAATTTACCCTGGCAGGCGCAGGCGCAGGCGCAGGTGAGGAGAGCGAGTGGGCTGGGAAGTGGGAAGAAGAGGGGGGGTGTGAGTGAAGAGGGGGAGGATGGTGGGTATGAGGCGGCGATTGAGGGGAGGGGGGATGGGGGGAGGCCGGTGGTTAAGAGGAGGGGGAGTCGTGAGGAGAGAGAGAGGGAGAGGGGGAGTGGGAGGGCGGAGAGTGCGTAGGTTTGAATGCGTGGGATAACGTGTGTGTGCTCTTCGGAGTTGGAACGGGGAGGGGAGGCGGTGTTTTTCAACCGTTCACGCATCTACGTTCTGGACTATGTTTTGTATCATGATGGGCTTTTTTTCTTTCGTAGGCTTTCCTTCTCTTTTCGTAGCCTGGGCCGTTTCTCAGGGCGAGGGCATGGTTCGTGTGGTCTGGCGTGGTGTGCTGTGCTGTGCTGTGCGAAAAGTGCATTGTATGTATATAT